TTTTTAGCCATAGAACACGGTAGCGAAATTTGTACGAAACCCTATGAGATTCTCTCAGTAAAACAGAGCAGTGGGTATATATAACGTTCTCCGATGGAATAGTTTTTCCTACCGATTGATCATTTTTATTGCGACCAAAGGTGACATTAGTTTTCCCTTAACTGAGATTGCTGCATTTGAGTTTAATTTCTAAATTCCACCGAAGCAACTTTGTATTCCCTTAGCACGAAGCATATTAGATTTTTCCTCAATCTTTCTTTGGCATATCGATTAACCAAAATTAGGGAAAAAGTAGAGGAATAATATTGGTAGTATAATTTTCAAAATTAAAAATTAAAATTATTATTAGGAAACCAAACGGATACGCGGAATTATTTCTTCAATAAAACACCAAAAAATGTTGCAAATGATATAATATTAGGAAGAAAACTATAAAGAATGTACAAAGAGTTCAAAATTTAGAGAATGCATGAACATTCGAAACGAAAAAAGGAAAGACGTGTGATACTCGATTTCATTTAGATCAATAATTTATTTAAGAAACACGCGTCATCCTACAAGAGTGGATCCTATATATTATTCGTCGACACGACTCCCACTGCTTGCTGAAAATTTATGAAATAGTTCTTACTCTACCTTATCCACTCGGACAAGAAACCTTTCTTTGCATTATGCATACACGTCTGGAAATATTTTTCCAGAGAACTTCGTGGTAAACTTCTTCGTACTTCCACATCGCAAGACGGCCATTTTATTTCATCCGCCATTCTATCGACACGTATTTTAATTGATAAATCACTCGCGTGTACGGTGATAATAATGCAACGCGATTTAATAAATCTCGAATGACGAATACAAATGCTGAAAATCATATTTGCGACATTTCAGTAAAATATAATAAAATATAATGTAAAAATTGTCCGAATAAAATTCGCGTGTGTACATACTTCCACTATGAAGTTGACAAATGAAGTCTGTGTGGTCAATAGAACGTACAAATTAACAAGTTTCGTATTATTATTAAACCGTGTCACGTGTATTTTAATTGTTAAGAAAGAGAGTACTGTTATGAAAATTTTCATAATTATTTTGACATCTCGTTGAGAAAATTTAGAGAAAGATACGGAACGTGCATTTAAATGTGCATTGATATTTTCTAAAATGATTATTTTTTATTCTTTGCTATTGGAAAGAATTCTATGAACGATATTAAAGGAACACGATCGATACGGAATAATACCTACTCTTCCTTATACTCTTCCGTAATAAAAAGTACAAATTAAAAATTGGATTACACATAGACTTTAATATATTTAATAGTTTATTTATATATTTAATATATAATAATATAGAAAATTATTAAAGTTTCTTTTAAAAATAAATTCCATTTTTGATTTAGGAGACTCGAATTTATTTCGATATATTTAACCCTTTGCACTCGAGAGGCGACTCTCAGTCGCCATTTAATCAAATTCTAAAGATCGTTGTTAATTAATATCTCGAATTTAAAATTGCCCTACGACGCGTGGAATATCGAGGTAAAATAATTCTACGTCTTACAATTAATTTGCAGTTCTTATTTACCGTTTTGAAAATATCGTCGACATATGGGCAGAAGGTCTCCGAATTACTATATTTCTGCAACGAAAAGACCGCCAAGTGCAAAGGGTTAATATTCGATAAGCATACGATAACGTATAATTTTCAATTCTAACTTAAACATTCGTTTATAAATATTAAACTAAAAGTGCTAAGTATCAATACTAACCAGAAGCCAAAAATGATCAATTATTTCTCATTTTAAAAATGATATTCCTAATTTTCTTGTATTAGTAAAACATATATTAGTAAATTTAGTATTTCATATTCCAGCTACACGTTCTAACTGCATTTCAATGGAACAGAAATCTGTGCAACATCTTCGAACGAACTTTTGAAAAAACCCTTCCTATTCTTTCCTATTCTTTCCCCCCAAAAGGGAACAAAATTCGCATTTCCGAGTAAACGAGAACCATTCTAAGACCATCGGAACTATCGTCAAGGGAGGCAAGCGTGATCTAGCATTTCGGGGAAGATCTTTCAGGATCCACGGATTCGTTCGACAAAATCGAACACTATCATCGGATGCGGTTGGTTGCAAGCGTTTCCTGGCCATAGCAATTGGAAGAACAGTTTCGAGGTAGAATAGACCGATATCCATCCACGTCGACGGAACGAACTTTAAAATGCTCTGACTCTATTAAAGCGTAACTCGATCGCGGCGTAAACTTTGTCCTCGTCCCATTAACTAATTGTTTTCGCAACGTTATGGTTTCCCGCCCGTGGAAGTTATGGAAATGAGCCTGGTCCCGTGCATCAGATATCCGAGCAATTCGATTTTCTACGTCTTCGAGTTCCACCCTGCTTGTTCCGCTCTGCGTACAAAGAAAGAGCCAAAGGAAGAGAGAGTGCTGCATCTCCGATGCAGACCTTCCGTCGACAACGCAATTTCGAATTGCGATTTCTAAGCAGAATGGATTACCCGCATCCTGCATGTCCTTTTTCTCAAAATTCACCGAGCTTTCGAAGAGACGAGGAAACTGGAATTCGGTTGTTCGCGAAGGAGGAAAGCTGAGGACAGTGATTGATATTCGGTAGCTAGTTTAGATTCTTCAAAGTGATTCATGAGTCGAGTATTAGCGTGTTAGAAGCTTAATGGGATGTCCTGCCATACTTGCTATCAGTAGAACAGCAAATTTACCAGTGAATAGGATGAAAACATAAACGAAGATGCTTGAAAAATAGGAAAGGGAAAATTAATTGTGTTCATACTAGAAAAATAATTACGGATTTTTTAATCCACATTTTGAAGATGCTCCTTTAGATCGTGGTAAATTTATCATTTAGTTAATGCACACCTTTCTTCATCGGTAAAGATAAGAATATATATGATAGCGTCGAATGTTTGGTTAACACTAGAACTACCAACCCAATCAAAATGACTGGTCCCAGAATTTTCCTTTTTGCAATCACCGAACACATACACCTGCTTTGAGAATAAAATTGGTATCAACTCGTATTAAGAAAGAACTGTAATCAATATATTCGCTCGTATTCATCGTACCGCTGAAATTACTATAATCTGTGCACGTTATAGTTAGGTACCCATTAAAGATCGGTAGTTCTAGTGTTAAAAAAGAGTTGTTGTTTATTAGACAAATTAGCAAAAAGTCCTACAGTTAGAGGTATCGTCGCCTTTTAACTCATTGTCAACCCAGTTCTCCAGCACAGAAGTAAATATAGGCAATGCTAAACCTAACTCCGTCTATACTCGTCTCTCTAATCCACGAGAATCCAGTATTTTCCTTCGAATGGCCATAATATTTTATTTAGATAAACTTGTTTTATTATTAACACTAGCACTACCAACTCAGTCAAAATGACTGGTCCTAGAATTCTCCTTTTTGCAATCACCGAACACATACACCTGCTTTAAGAATAAAATTGGTATCAACTCGTATTAATAAAGAACTGTAATCGATATATTCGCTCGTATTCATCGTACCGCTGAAATTACTATAATCTGTGCACGTTATAGTTAGGTACCCATTAAAGATCGGTAGTTCTAGTGTTAATAAAGCTTCCTAATTGTTTCAAGTGCACAATGAAGGGAAATAGATTTATCAAACGAGTATTTCAGACAGTGTGTACATAAATATGAAATATTTTATGGAATTATCGTGATATTATATTATAATAGATCTATACTATCGTTACACTAGGAGTGTCATAGAAAACAACGTAGCAGTGATGTTAACTGCATTAAGATCACCGTACGTGAGCAAGCATTGGGTCGACCATCTGTTATTGATTACTCGAGTGCATTCCTCCTACTCTCGATATTCGATTTATCCCGAAGCCACAAAATTCTTTTGAATTATCACTAGATCGAATACCTGCCTCACGTTTCACTCGCAACTCTGGAAACATTAATTCTCCGATGGAACAAACAGACTTCGCTGTTACTGTTCTATATCGCAACAGAGAGATATTTTATCGTTAACAAATGGGATTCGTTATTACCTAGGATCTAATAGAAATCTGAAAACACTGACCCCTCTGGAGAAACATAAAATTCCCTGTCACTGTTATACACAGGCCCAGGCAAACTGCGATAAACATTCAAAAATATCGCTATTCGATCATCACGAAAAAAAAAAAAGAAGGAAAAAGAAGAGAAAGAGAAGAGTCTATAAAAATTGGGGTTGTCGCTTCTGTGAATCGGTCCAGAAACGATAAATAAAAGATCTGCTAATATCTCTTCCTCTTGATACCGCAGACCGTATTAAAAACGAGAAAATGACAGTTTTACGGGAAAGCCAATATTCCTGTCAGCTGTTTTAACTACGCGAACCCCTTTCCATTTACATTCGGAACCGTTGTTTCACCGAGGAGAAATAGGATCGTGGATTCACGGGCACTACGATTAACTTGAAAGAATTGAACTTACGTTTGTAGAGACACTGTTAAATAACACTGAACGAAATTCGAACGAGAAATGAGTAGGAAACCGCTCGTACTCTAGCCGAGTAGCTGAGGCCTGATCTAGGATGCAGTTATCGCAAAAAGATAGTGCTAGACCGCAAGCAAACATGTTTACAATGGTCCTAAAACCGTGTCAGAAAAATTTTTTGTCGCGGATAAAATATGTAAATCTGAATCAAACTTCCTGTGACATTTTTTATTTAGAAATTTTATCGCCATCATTGATTAATTGCGTAACAGTGACTGACTATAGTCACGAATAATATCGCTCGTAAGTTTCGAAATTTTGGAAAATAACTTTTATTAGCTTTGAAAATTGTTACAGAAATTAGTTTTACGAATAATAGAAAACAACGATGCGATAATTGTAACGAGATACTTTTAAGTTCTTGCTTATCCACATATTTATTTCATCTCTACCATATTCGATGTTCTAAGATATTTCCACTGATCTAATTTGTTAATCCTTGTTGCAGGATTGCTCCTACGTAAAAAGCCTACGAGAGACACGTCCACAGAAATGTTACGTTTCACGAGAAATACCAACAAGCTAACGTTAAGTCAACGATTATTCTACGAAGAAAATGGCTATTTGATATTCCCCCAATTAGTACCAAAAGAGATACTCGATAAATGCTCCCAGAGGTACACCGATTTTGATCGAATATTAAATATAATCTGGTAAACAAACAATCGATAATATAAAATGATTTTACGAGACGCGAAAGAGGTAACGATAAATTTTTTACGACATAAACCAGTTTTAAAAATGGCTGATTATGAGATTTCAAATACGCAACAGCGCGGGTAATACGCGGTCAAAAGTTTCGAAAAGTATCGATACTATTCGATACTTCGATACACGTCACGGAATCTCGATAAATTTGTCATACGCAATCGATTCGTATACACAAACGGTATGTATTATTCGCTTAATAATTCAATGATAGTACAAGCCTGACATTTAAATAATTAAACATGATATAGTGCTGTGCAAAATGAGTCATTGTATTCGATCGGTAATATTGCGCATTATTCGTTTTCAGGGGGCACACTCGTCATATACATCGCGTTCAGGAGTCGATCTTGTCCCTCTGGTGTCTTAATGCGTAATTATTTTCCCAGGTTCGACGACATCGTAGCTAACAAAGTTCCACGCGGTAGCATAATCGTGATGCGCGATGTGAAGGACAGGAAGTCGGTCAACAAGTTGCAGGATATAAACCACGATGAAGTTTTCCGTGAATATATCGAACATAAAAGTATTCTCGATGTTGTGGAAGCATTCACCGGGTCGAATATCATGGCTATGCACAGTATGCTGATCGCAAAACCACCTGACATCGGATTCGGTAGCTCCAAGTAATATCGATTACTTTTTACCCTAGTCATTCTATACTCAATTTTACCGACTTTTTCCCTCGAAGTATCTTTTGCTCCTTTTTCTAAAAACTTTATCGTAACATACGGAACGTGTACTTTTCCAACTGCGAGAAAGAAATGTTTAATCGTTTTTTGAAGAAAGCGATTTTATCCAATAATTTTTCGATAATTGGATTTATATAGAACTTTGTTTCGTTCGAAGATATAAATTTATGCGAGACAAACTGGACTATAAATTTGTCTACTATAGTGTAGTATAAGTACACTATAACTCATGACTATTCAGGTAATGTAACATCAAATATGGGAACTCGTGGCCAAGTATTGTCATCGAGAAACATGTAAGACTTTTTCTGTTAACTGCTGCAATTTGTTCCAGTGCCAAGGCAATATTCGGTCTAAAGTAGCGTAATAAAAATATCTTCAAGTGAACGTCTCAGATGTTACGATATCGTTTAAGCAATTTCAATTTTATAATTAAATGTTCGTAATAACTTCAGACTCGAGTTAAGTTGCTTTCCAATTCCAATTTTTACTTTTAAAAGTTGAATAAAACCTGCAAATTTTTTTGAATTTTATTTTTTAAGATATCAGTTTACTTTATTTCTTTAATTCTTCTATTCCATCCAAAATAATTATTTTAGTTTTTCCAACAATGCTCGTTCGTTGTTTATAAAGATTGCTATAAGGTGAAATATTTCCAGGCATCCGCCCCATCAGGATTTATATTATTTTCCTTTCCGGCCAGCTGATGTGATAGTGGCAGCATGGACTGCTATTGAAACGTGTACTCGCGAAAATGGATGCCTTTTCGTGTCTCCTGGCACACATGCACTCGGTCATTTATACAAACACGACTATCCACCAGGATCGGAGCCAGGTTCCGTCAACAAATTCTACCATGGCATTTTGGTACGAATTTGAATGCAGTCTATTGCTTTAAATCACAATATTTAATTTTTCTTTAAAGGATTTACCAAAGTCTGTGAATTGGAAATATCTCGAAATGCAACCACGTGATACAGTGTTCTTCCATCCCTTATTAATTCACGGATCAGGCATCAACAAATCACAAAGCTCGAGACGATCCATTTCGTGCCATTATGCGGCCGCAGAATGTCAATACATAGATGTAAGTCATAAATTAAAGAATAAAACCTGAATCGCGTTATTTCAGAAAATACAATGACTGTTAATAAAAATCAGGTAAGCAAATCAATTCAAAATCGAATCGAGGACGAAGTCATGGAACACGTACGTAAACGGTTCCCTGGCTTGGAGATTAATTATCAGGACGTGTGGCGTCACAAATCTACCCTCGTACACGGAATTCGATCATCTTTATGAAAAACATTGTATGGTAAATTTACTTTATATTTCAAGGTGGTTGTATATGAGAGTAATAATCGAATAACGTCGAAGAATGATAATTGCACGATAGTAAAAACGTATCGTTGTTTGCATGTATAAGCAGACAGAAGGGAGAGAAGAGGGTAAGTAACGGCATAACAGAAAAAGATGCAACGACAACAGGGTTGTCGTCATTATTATTGTATGAATCAACATTACGACGGTGTCTTTGATGTGAATACGGTGGTTGAAGTGTGTAACAATGCTTCGAATGTGGATCTTTATAGGTGTTCTCGTGGCGGACGCTTGCACTGGAAGTACGACATGCAGCCAAACAAACTTGAAATCGGTCTAAATTGCGCAGACGTTTCTTCACCACATCTTGGTCCCTGTGTACTTTATGATTTTCTCTAAGCAAACCTAATAGCACATCCTTTCTTCCTTTCATTTGCTGTTAATAATAATTCTTTATTAGTACCTTTGTCATCAGCTATAACTTAAAACAAAAAGGGAAAAAGAAAAACGAAAAGCCACCTTGCTAGGATGTAGGCAGCAGGAAACACAATATTCATAGATAGCACAGCACCCTTGAGCATTACATGTTTTACAACTATACCTCTCTCTCTTGGCTATAGCTGATGTATCCTCATTTTTTGTAGAATCCTTTTGTTCCATATTACAGCAACCATTTGGCAAAATTTCCTGTCTAGAGCATACAATACCTCGCTCATCTACTATTAGGACTTTGCCCTATTAGAACAACAAGAAGTTGGTAAGGTCATTTATTTTATCACGTTGTGCTCAACATTCCAGTATTTAATATACCTGAACAGAATTACGACAAGAATGGACCATAATATCTGTATCATTTAAATTTAACATTGCTTCCATATGTAATGCGTTTTTGTTTGCCCCTTGATCAACAATTGCCATTTGCCACAATGGTGGTTTACCAGATCCTTTCAATTGTTCCAATAATGCATCATCATCAGAAACTAAATCATCATTATTGTCATTAATCATCATGGGATCCATGTCGTCAAGATCATTATCCAAAGCTAATGTCTTTCTCTATGGATCAGATAATATTCACTTCTAAATTTTAAATTAAAATTTGCAGCTTGGTTATGAAAACTATCAGTTACTTAAGCGTATTTAATATACAATTTTACAACATTATTTTTATTAATTATTTACCTCGTTACGAAAGAGTGAAAAGGCGCAGTATGTAAGTGATAGAGCAAAAATCAGTCCAAGTACGAGGCGCCGTCTAATGATTCTGATGAGGCTGCCACAACTCGGCATCCTTCCCACGTTTTGCAATTTACCGTCGTACTTTTATTCGACATTAAATTTCTGGTTTTCTATCCCAGCGCATGATTGCAATACAACTGAGCACACAGTTATTTCCTTCAACTAAATTTATCCACTAAAATTCTGTAGGTTATAAGAAGTGTGGTTGCTAGTCGTACGAAATGTATCGGAATGCAAATTAATATAGAAATTATCTTCAGTATGACACGAATTAATACGACAAAAGTAAGATAAACAGAAAGAAGAGAGATAAAGAAAAGGGGGAACGAAAAAGAGGGAGAGAGAGAGACAGAGAGAGGTTATGTTTTTTCTTACTAATATATCGTAAACATTGTGTAAAGTGCTTACCAATCTTCGAGCGGGAATAATTTAATTCTTATAACATGAACTTCTTATCGATTAATTATACAACTAATAAGATGAACCAGTATTTTGTTAAAATAAAATTTATCAGGTTTTTGTCAACGAATATACAAGCAATAATACAAGTGCATTGGCCTGTTCAATATGGTTGAATGCCAACAAAGTTTGCGATACATTATGTTAGATGTCACTACTTTCAGAGTTAACCTTCTAATATCGACATATGATATTATGTACAAGATTAACGAATTTCAATTATATCACAGACGAGAGTTATTATTTTACAAAATATTCATATATTACTAAGAAATTTGTTTACTTATACAAAAAATATTTGTTTAATCATAAAATTATGATTTATATGTTACTTTTTATCTAATATTTTATATAATATTTAATTTTTCTAATATGTACTTATGTATCTGTATTTATTTAACGCATGTTTATTTTGAAATATATAACTTTATTCATAATACTCATAACGTTAATGAATGAAAGTACATGTTTTTCTTATGAGTGAATTAAAAGTGTTTTTTTGTTCTGGAACCAATTTTAAAAAACAATCTGTAAGCTTTGAAACAACTGAAGTTAATAATTTTCAGTAAACCTATAATGTCTTAAATGACATAAAAATTATATTTTTCATTATTCAACTTGGTAAATAAGACCGTGAATTTAAATTTCGATGTCAAAAAAAAGCGAAAATCTGGTATATTTAATTTCTTATTTTATTAAATATTTAATTATATTCCCTAATGGAAATTATTCACACCTCATATTTAGTCATATTTAAAAAAACAGCATAAAGTATCTTTTCATATTAAAATGAATATTATGATCTAAACAAATTGAACAACATACAAATCTTTATCTGTTCTTTAGTTTTATTATATTTAACAATATTATTTATTTTTCAGATTAAATTTTGCAAACTGCAATAAAGGGTTAATTGGCTAAGTATACATCTAGAATTAGATTGTAAAAGTATTATTTTACCCTTAGAACTAGTAATATGATTCGACTACTAAGGTAACTAAGGTAACGATTATTTGTCCAACATCAGTGTTAATTATCTTTATATCATACAATAAATGTTTGACCAAAATAACATAATTTTTTAATGAATTATGTATTACTGAAATTTATAATTCCAAACTTTTAAATTAATAAATTTCAGTTTTCAGTTTTCAGTTTTCATTATGTTTTTTTATATTTATTTTTCGTCTCGTGAAAAAATCAAAATGTTATTCTCCATCGAGACGAGATGACATTTTCATGACATTACGTGAAAAAATGTTTATATATATACATATTTACATTATTCACGTTTTGAGAATTATGGTTCGAAAAATTACATCAAAACTTCGGAGAAATCAGTGCTGGCTTTTGATGAAAATACATATGCAAAGATATACAAAATGCCTAAAATGTCCATCTTTGGGGAGTGATTTCCCCCCTTAAACTTGAGTCATCGCAGGTAAAAAAGGTACTATCTACTATTTTTGTCTGTTCTTTAAGCTTACCAAATTTCATTCAAATCGCAAGCAGAGCGTTTATGGCATTTTGTTAGTATAATAATCATAACTATAACCGAAGGTTTATCGTAATGCAAGCCGTAACAAGAGATACGAAGACTAACACAAAGAGACCGGGTATTAGACACAACTTTAGTATTCAGACTGTTGTTTATTCAAGTCGAGCTTTTATACCTCTTAGGTAGCTTAAGGACATGCGTGAAATACGGGGTCCTTTAGTTTTCAGGTCTGGTCGTCTGGGGGGGTAAGTAGACGTGGTTCTTATCTTGAAGTGTTGAGATTCGGCTTCATTTTGAGGTATCGGAATTTAGTTTAAAACTACGTATCCACTTGAGAGTAAAATTGTCGCGAGTTGCTCTCGACAGTGTTTCTTGCCAACGGAGACAGCGTTTGTCGGAAAGCATTGTTCAACTGTCCGAAAGTCAACGTATCGCAAATTGCTCGCGAGTGGACACAGTAATACAGTGTCTCAAAAAGTTATTAGTAGATTTCAAAACGGTATAGAAGTCCTGAAAATACTCTCGAGTAGAAGCAGGAACACTTGAAACGATTATCAGAACGAATGACGGGTAGACTAAACAACTATCGGTGCGAAGAACGAGCCAATCGAGTAGATGTTTAGGTTAAGATTAGGTGTAAAGAATGAAGGGATTCTTGAAATGTATGCAATACGTTTTGAACATAACTTGAGAGTACTCTCGAGAGCAACTATCGTGAGAAACTCTCAAATGGACACGTAACTTTACAGTCTTATCTTGGGGTGTTGGAATATAGTTTCACAGCCGATTAGTATAATATGATTCAAGGACGAATATCCGCGTAAGAACACTAAAGAAACAGAAAAATGTAAAAACGTTAGGATTAGGTTTATGTTAGTGCGAATGCACTATAGTAAATGGTCTATTATGTATTATACATTACACATAGTAAATTTTGAACTTACCATCCAGACGTATGTGTAATCTTTTTATATCATACTTCAAATGGTTTCTGAAACATAACCTAAGGTATTAATTTTATACATACCCATTTTCTCAGATAGATGCATGAGAAATATTTCAGTGGATAATAATTTTAATTTTATAGTAACCTATATATGTGCACCTTTTCGAGGAATTTACAAGAATAACATCTATAGTAAACATAAACAAATAAGATTACTAAAAGAAAATGCAACTGTAACCCAATAGACTGGCTAATAAGCAGTTCTACATAAACGATGCGTATGAAGGAGAATACACGAATATCCTTTCTTTGTATCTCAGTTCCGTCGTAGCTAACGTGACAAATTGTGACCAATTAGAGGCTAGAGGCTCAAGTGGTCCGTTACCCCGCATCCCCACCAAATATAAGGGCTACAGAATCAAACAAAGCAGTCAGTCTATGGCAAGAGTCGGAAAGTAGCAGGTAGTTGGGTAGAAATATGTCGGAAAGAATAGTTAAACGTGACATACCGGATAATAAGTGTCACAACGTGAACATCAGGATAAGGCAGACATGTCTTGGTTGCAACTTAAGTAAACCGGCGAAAAGGATCATTGTTTGCTTGAAACATTCGTTACCATGGATTCAGAGAAAAGTCCCACTACGAGAATTAGACATTTGTAGAAGATGCAGACACGCGTTGTACAAGGTATTCCTTTTAATTGAGAAATCATCGAAACAAGCTTCTAAAACGCGGAGTTCAAGAATATTACATTAGTGATATTATGGCGTGTTGCATAAAAGGAAGTAGTGCAGTTTCGAAAACATTTCTAGATAACTTATGTTGCTAAAGATCAATGGTGAACTTTCAGATTCATAAAGTAAAGATTACAAAGTGTTTTTATTTCTGTGATAAGGTTTTCAAATAATAATGAGGTTAGTGGACTCTTCAGCATGTGACGAAGCGAACATTCATCACTCGTACTGGTGCATACGAATTTGTTCGCTTATAATTGTTCGTTTACAATTATTATAAAATAATAATATCAAATAGTCACGTGGTGAAATAATATTTATTTCTTGCATAAACATGCATTACTGACATCTGTATAAAAATATTAGCATTATTTATTTAAAAGCAAGCGTTAGTTCGAACAAATGCAAGTAGATGGTAGCATAGTTGTTAGCCAAATGTTTGGAAGCCATGAGGGCTAAATGGTAGTGAATTACTAGTATAAATATTACCGACTTTAGTATAAGGCACGAATTGTATACAAAATGTATACTCTTGAATATACTCTTCGTTGGTAAACAATTTTTTAAGCGGACATTATAACCTTGTTAATATACAAAGTCTTGAGTATTTAGTAAAGTATTTCGTATATAACCTTTTAATTAGTTTCTCGTATATTATGTAAAATATAGAAATAATATTTATTATTTATTATTTTATATATCATAAAGAAATTTGTATTATACGTTAATTTCAATTCTTCTTTCGTGATTGAAAAATTACCTTTTTTTTATATATTCTTAATGATATTTCAAATGAGATATTTTAATTAAAATTTCTTACGGCTTCTTCTGAAATTGTCACGAAGTAAAACTTACTAGAAAAAATATTTCTTTAATTATATTAATTAATATGTGGATTCATTAATCGTATATTTATATAATTTGACATGTTAAATTTATCCTGATGAATCACAACGTGAAGTGTTGCAATATGTTTTTCAGTGTTTTCTTTCAAAACGGGGAAATGATTAAAAATATTAGAATAAACAATAAAAAGTGAAAAGTTATTTTGTGCAAGGTCCAAAATCCATCACCAACCTGCCTCGTTTCATCTCTTGTTGCAAAAAATAATAAATGAACTGATTCATTTTTCAAATTTACTTTTGTTCCTGCTCGTACAACCAATGGTTGCATTAAAATAAAACCAAATTTCGTAAGTAATCTTTCTTGCTTTGAGTTTTTTGTTATAATATTTATTCAGAGGTAAGCAGGGTGATGCATTATAACGTTAGTTCTCAAGGAGATAAGAGAATAATATCGGACATTTGTTTATGGTTCTTTATCTTTTCTGTGGTGTGGTGTTAAATTTCTTGAAGTCGTCTACTGTTGAAGAAGGGTAATCTGATATTACTAGTGAAGAAGTATGATAGAATGCTTTCCTAGTACAAAATAATTTTGCATTTGTTAAACGTTTGCTTATCGTTATTTAATAGTAGTCCATTGTTTCGTCCTATACCGTAGAAATTAATATAAGAGATTTGAAATGACTTTGAAAGAACTGTGAAATACAGACCACACATTTTCAATTCTATTTAATTATTTTCCGACCCGTATAAGAATTATTTTCAAGTAATAATGACAATTGTCTTGTAATTTGACTTGCTTCAATTATTACGATGACATTTGCCCAAAATAAAGAAATAAACATAGGAGAAAGTACATCGAATTGGGATAGTCACATATCGATACTCGCACAAACAAAATGGCGGCGTGGTGTGTACGTCACTGTCGTGCCAATATATGTATGATATATTATTCTAAACATTTATCATATTATCTTTGTTAATCTGTTAATACACCAGCTTTAGAAAATCTTAAATCAGTAGAAGAATTTGACTTTCTAGTCAAATAGAGAACAGATACCAGATATAAATGGAAGCTTTCTGTTGTATTGCCTTTATATGTTTAAGGGATAGGATAGTGAGTGTAAT